AATTAGATTTGCCAGGTCTCTTGGAGCTGCCAGCTCATTATTTGTTTGTTTCTGGATGCCCTGCAGCCTCTGTTGCTCTGTCTCACTGGCCTTGGATCAGGCTCCTATGCATGACCTGGCAGCATGCCACCTGCTTCCTCAGCGTCCCGCAGACCTCTTCCTATCCCTCTGTCTCTCTAGGTGAGGGATGTTTTCCTCTTGGGCTGGAAGGCTGATTTCTTAGGCACTTTCTGCTATCTCACTGTGTGTGCATGTGGCTGTTTACACTTATGGAAGTGTGTGTGAATGTGCCAGAGGAGGATGTGCTCATGAAATAACAGCCTGGCCATGCAGCTGAAATTGACAGCATGTGCTTGGTGGTACAAATGAAGACCCATCTGGAATCTCCATCCCAGCCTACCACTTCTCACAGGGTCAGTCTGTCCTGTGAGTTCCCATATGTTTATCAGGTTCACATAGAATCTGAGCTGTGATTTGCGGGGACCCAGGAGGAGCTCCTCTTCTCTAAAACCCCTCCTCCACTGGGGCCTGAAGTTTTGCCATTTGGCATTTCTTAATTTGGGTTGAGCATTGCCTTCTAGAGACTCCCTTTTAAAAGTGCAAATACTTCTGGAAGGAGGTACCCAGAGCTAGAAAGTTGAGGTATTATATGATTAATTTCCTTCATATTTTTACAGACAAGGAAGGAAAGCAATGTGCCAGTGATGTTTCTGAGGTCACTTGGCAAATACATGGCAGAGCCCTAGTTCATTAGTCATTGTCTACCTGAGTCACAGGGCACACCACCTTCACAACGTGCCTTAAAGGCAATTACCACAGGCTTCTTTACCTAATGGGGCCATTGTTGGAAACATGATGGGCAAGATCAGTTGGAACAAAAGGTGCTGATAGTGCTATACATTTGGACTTTTTCATAACTTAGGGAACGGGTTTTTCATCTAGACCAGTGCTATTCAATGGAAATATAATGTGAGCCACAGACATGAACCACGTGTGCAACAAAAAATGGTCTAGTAGCCCCATTAAACAAATAATAGGGAAAAAAAGGGAAAAGGCAAAGACAGGTAAAATTAATGTTAATAATCTATTGAACTTAACCCAATATTATAAAAATATCAGCATGCACTCTAAAAATGCACTTTTAAAAAATTAATGAGATAGTTTGCTGTTTTTTACAAGGTCTTTGAAATACAAGTATATTTTACATTTATAGCTCATCTCAATTTGCACTAGCCACATCTAGAGCTCAATAATAGCATATGTGACTAGTGTCCTCTATATTGAATAGCAGCTCTAAACCATCCCTTTCGGAGGATTCTGTACCTATTCCTCTGACCAAGGCACTGTCTGCACATACCTTTCTCCTCCAGATCTGATGTTCACAGGCCTGTAGGTACCATAGGAACCATCCAGTCCACGGACTTCACCTTCTATCCCATAGAATCCTCAGAGATTCAGACAGGGGTGGAGTGACGGGGGGAGGAAGGGTGCTTGTGGCTTTGCTTCCAGTCATGCGCATTGATTTTATGTGGGTTCCCTGATGAGGATCTGCAGATTACCTTATTAAGTGTCACTAAATCCCCACAAAGAGCAAACTGCTTGAAGATATCCCTGCAACCAAGTCACAGGTTGAAAATAATGTCTGTTAAGGCAAGCCCAAGTGGATAGTGAGAAATAGCTGAACTATTCTCATGTAGAGGATAGTTCTTACTCCCATGACAAACTCTTGGTCAGCTGTCTGATGAGACGACAACAGCAGTGGTAGGGCCAGCCTCTGCGTTCAGAATTATCAGTAAAACTGTATGAAATGTGAATGCACATCCACCATCATTAACAAAGAACTTGCCGGGCATGGTGGCTCACGCCTGTAATCCCAGCACTTTGGGAGGCCGAGGCGGGCGGATCACGAGGTCAAGAGATCGAGACCATCCTGGCCAACATGATGAAACCCTGTCTCTACTAAAAATACAAAAATTAGCTGGGTGTGGTGGCGTGCGCCTGTAGTCCCAGCTACTTGGGAAGCTGAGGCAGGAGAATTGCTTGAACCCAGGAGGCGGAGGTTGTAGTGAGCTGAGATGGTGCCACTGCACTCAAGCCTGGTTCCTGGCAACAGAGCGAGACTCTGTCTCAAAAAAAAAAAAAAAAAAAAGAAACAAAGAACTTCAGTCTAAGAATGATTTTGTGGCTTGGTATCTTAGCATGTGATATGTCTAATTTGTTACATCTGTTTTACCATGTAGGCAATATATTTGTTTCATAGGTGGACACAATTTAGACATACATGCAGACTTTGAAAACAGTTGGATCAGCTCACTCCTCTGCTTAAAAGCCTGCAGCGGCTTCCCACGCCACTCAGAGGAAGCCCCCAGGGCTATGATGGCCAGCGGTCCCTAACCCCATTGTGCCTGTCTCATCACGTTTCTGATGCCATGTCCTCCCTCTCTCACTGTCTTTCTCTCTGCCCCAGCCACACTGGTCCCCTTGCTGTTTACCATGTTTATTAAACTCACAACAACAAAATCCATTCAGTTTTGCATATTTTGAACTTTTTAGAAGTGCAGTCATGCTGTATAAATTCTGCTTTTTTAATCAATGTCATGTTCTTAAAGATTCATTCATGATATTGTATGTAGCTATAATTTGTTCATTTTACACTACTGTATAGTATTCCAGTATGTAATTGTACCTCACTTAAAAAGATATTCTCACACTGTAGCTTCTAGTTGTTTTTTTTCTATTCAAACTGGGCTACTATGAACATTTTGTCTTAGGATGTGTGTCCTAGGGCTCGTGTGCCCACATGCACATAGGTCAGAGGTGTACATATTATCTATATGTCTTTTCTCACTACCTTTATATATGCTTGTCCCTAAGCTTGGAATCTCCTCATCCTCTGCCAAACTCCTGCTGGTATTTTAAGACCAACTCATGTGTCACCTTCTTTAAGGAGCTTTCCTCTCTAAGTCTTGAAACTTATTATTTGCCAAAAGATACAGTTTCAACAAATTGAGTTTAAAGGTATGATTGGCTTTTATTAGCAGTTCATTAATCAAGCAGCATCCCTTCTAGAAAATAGACAGTTGCTCTGATGACCTGAGTAGAGGGAGTTGGCTTTACAGGCAGAAAATGCTGAAGAAACCAAAACTAGGAAATAGAAAGCAGACTGGTCAATTCAAAGTTGCAGCGTTCACAGAGATGACTTTCTTACCGTGCCTGCTCAAGTAGACTGGCTGGTTGCTGTAAATCTCCTGTTTTCTTTCTCTCTTTCTTTCTTTCTCTTTCTTTCTTTCTTTCTTTCTTTCTTTCTTTCTTTCTTTCTTTCTTTCTTTCTTTCTTTCTTTCTTTCTTTCTTTCTTTCTTTCTTTCTTTCTTTCTTTCTTTCCTTTCTTTCTTTCTCTCTCTCTCTCTCTCTCT